CCACAAATATGTACATATATACATGAGTCAAAATAAACAAACAAAAGGGAGCCTTCACAAAGGTTGCTTAGGGGAAGTCTCAGCAGTCGGTAGAGCCCCAGAAAGAGAAAGCACCGGAGGGTGGTTATCCGGAGCCTCAGTACTTGACAAAACCCCAGAAGGAGGAGGCATTGGAGGTTCATCATTTGAAGCTTCATTACCAGGTACAGCCCCAGAGGACGAAGGCAATAAATGCCTTTGGAACAAACCCACAAACCGCTGATGATCAAGTAAAACCTTACCATCAGATTCCTTCATCTGGTCAAGCTTCCTCTTCATGTTTGTAGCATAGTCATGGGCGAGCCGGTGCAACTGCTTATTCTCATGCTTGAGCCCTCTAATCTCCTGTTTGAGACTCATCACTTCAGCAGCCAATGATTCAACTTGGCGGGTTCTAGCAAATAGGCGTTGGGCCATATTAGACACAGAACCTGCACACTGAACACTAAGAGCCAGAGAGTCCTTAACAGCCAACTCATCAGACCGTTTGGAAAGTAGTCTGTTATCTTTGGGAGTGAGAAGGTTCCTGGCCACCACTGCAGCGGTCATATCATTCTTCATCACAGAATCCCCAACGGTAAGAGGACCAGTAGGGGATATGAAGGATGGGCACCATATGTTGTCTGGAGAAGGCGTGGCTGTCTCTTCTCCAAGGTTCAGGTCAAAACGACGGTCGGAGGGTCCAAACATTTTCAAATGTGTTGAAGAAGGAAGAGGTCAGACAAATCAAGATCTTAGAAGTGCAAGAAATGAGCTTCTACTGGTAGAGATTCAGGTGTGCTGTGGAACTTAATGCCAGCCTCTATAAAAATCTGCACTCGACGGAGCTTCAGAAATCGAAGAGGCGTTTGCTTCTCAAAAGCTGGGCTGCTCAGAGACCGAGGGCCGATTCAGAAATCGAAGAGGCGTTTGCTTTCTCAAAAGCTGGGCTGCTCAGAGACCACGAGGGCCGATCTCAGAAATCGATTGAAGAGGCGTTTGCTTTCTCAAAAGCTGGGCTGCTCAGAGACCACGAGGGCCGATCTCAGAAATCGAAGAAGCACCTGCTTTTTCAGCCTCGTCAGCACCTGTCACATGCACAATCAGCTTTGCGAAAATTACGGGCAATCTGTCGAAGATTTCTGGTGAAGTAAAAAGCACGTGAATCTTACTGTTCAATCACCGCTCTCCATATGCACCATCAACTCATCGGGTACCACATATAACTTTGTCAAAGATCTCTGACAAAGTTTAGGCACGAGAATTTCGAAGTTCCAGCTACCCTACTATTACCCATAAGGGTAAAAGAACAGCACCACTGCTTGACAACTAGAAAGTCCATATGTGTGTCGACCTCCGTGTTTTTTGCGGCAAGACAGGGTTGGCAAGAACGTCCAACCTTTACTCACATTCGAGAAAAGACTCCCAACATAAATTACTTTCTCAAAAACCGGAGTAGCACACCGCTTTCCGAATCTCGAGAGTCAGATCCTCGACGGGATTGCTTGTTCGAAAAACCGAAGAGGCACAACTCTCAGAACTTCGAGAGCCAGATTTCCTTAGATAAAGCTTGTCTGTAATCTTCACACGTAATATCAGCTTTCCAGATACCACATACCATTTTTTTTCAAAGTGCTCTGACAAAATTAAAACACGTGAAGCTGGCAACTCCCACTACATTGCTGTGACCAAGAAGGGTAAAGGAATAGCATTACTACTTGTTATTATTGGGAAATCCCTATATACATTGACCTCCCTCCTCAACGGACAGGCAAACCTGCAAAAATGCTCAACCCTTTCTCGCATTCGAAAAAGGCACCCTCAACATAACCTCTCTCGAAATACTCAGCTTTATTTCCCCCGATAATACCTCAGCAAATAAGCCACACCAAGAACAAGAGTATCTCATATCATCAGGGTCGAAGCAAGAGTATCCCATATCATGCTTTCTCCCTATCTTTGTCTTTGTCCTTGTCCACACCTGCAGGACAAGGAGAAAGAGAGCAGTCAGTCGGAACCTGAAATCAAACCTCCAATTTGGAACTGACTGCCTGGAGCCTTTGCCTGGTTGCTTACTTAGCATTGCTCTCGAGTACTCATCCTCAACTGCTGTCAAGGTCACGAATTCCACCGGCAAATACCTCATGACAGTTGATCAGATATTGGCTCTTTACACTGAAGCTGCCAAGCGTGGATGAGTCACTATGAAGGAATGTTCTGAAGGACCATTTAAATGCAAAGGTTGCACACCACTTCTGCCATGCAAAAGATTGAAGCAGAAGGTTCAACGGTGAGCTGAAACAGATCACTACAGCACGACACCTTTCCATACCACATTCATTATTCCGTCAACAACAAAAGTATCCCATATCATCAAGGTCGAACGTACTCTAGATTTGATGGACTTGTTTTGACCCTCAAATTTTTGAGTCGGCCTTATACTCTGAAGGGCACCAGAAAACCCTCCAGCACAGTTCAAGAATAAGCCTGTGGAAAAGTTACTTCTTCAAAAGCAAAAGTATCTCATATCATCTCTTATCCATTTGCTTCTCCTTATCCTGGCAGTTGAATGAGAGACTAGGAGAAGGAGAACAATCAACCGGAAGCCGAAGTCAAACCTCTGATCCTGGGTTGCTTACTTGGAAGTTTGACTGCTTACCTTGTCTGTCACCTCTTTCGGCAGATCTCCTAGCTCGGCGACTTGGGGGACTCCTACTATAGGGTTTGTATCACACTTGACTAAGCCCGAAACTACAACTAAGCTTCAAGTGAAATTGATACATTACCTTGTGCGTCAACATCAGCTAAATACACCATTCCCGGATGGAGGAAAGGTACTTCCAGAGAAGAGCAGATGAAGATCAGACCACACTTCGGTACTTAGAAGTTTCGTGATTACTCAAGGGATTGGATCTTGCAAGTCCCCAACCGAGGAGTTTCCCTCACTCGGGAACTTAGGGGAGCACTGTTTGTACCATACTTGACCAATCCCGAAACTACCGAGCACTGGCCAACGCTACTGTCAAGGACCCAGAAGAGTTCCCCTCCGACCAGGAGGCCAATCACTACTCGACACGTGTCAAGATTAGAAGCCAATCAGAGCGCAGCACGTGTCGACATCAAGAACCAATCATAACATGACACATGTCAATGTGACAAAGCTACAAGTTTTTCTATAAATAGGGGTCATTCCCCCACAATATTGCCAAATGCCATTTTGTGTTAAATCATTCACAAGAACTCACTAAATTGAGAGCTTGATCCTTTGTACTTGTGTAAGCCCTTCACTACTAATAAGAACTCCTCTACTCCGTGGACGTAGCCAATCTGGGTGAACCACGTACATCCTGTGTTTGCTTCTCTATCTCTATTCATTTACGTACTTATCCTCACTAGTGACCGAAGCAACCAAGCAAAGGTCACAAAACCTGACACTTTCTGTTGTACCAAAGTCTTCGCTGATTTTGTGCATCAACAGAATCTATCCTTTAGTATTTCTCAAATACTTAAGGACTCACTTGACAGTTGCCATGGTTCTGATCCTGGGCTTGCACTGATATCGTCTTGTACCGTTCTAGGTACAACTCATATCAATGTTTTTCATACAATATGAAATACATAAATCCCCTTTATGCGTATGCATAAAGGATTCTATTTACGCATTATTTCTTTGGGAGTCAAAGAGTACGTTCTCTTTGAGAAGAGCAACTTCTTAGTCTCACTAGAGTTGTCCTTCTAATTGAAGTTTATCATCATATGAGAAACTTCCTAGCATCTATTGTCTATTATTAGGGATTGATATAATCCAATTATATCATGAAATATATCATTATAGATTTCCATCCCATGTATATAGACTATATCTCCCATATACATTCTATCTTCATATAATGTTTTAAAGTCATAACTTTAACGAAGAAGTATTCTTTTCATTTCCAAAATTAATATATCAAATATATATTTAAATTTAGGAATATGATTAACTCCCACTAATCTTTTGTAAACCTAGTAAACAAAAGATTCATTTATATCTTTATGAGAAATCAAACGATTTGATCCCTTTCTCATAAGATGCTCATAGCTCCCACTAGCTTGCTTAGATTCATGATGGATGGATCTCTACAACTTACATATCTTGTGATTCATAGTTTTAGACATATATTATTAAGACTATCTTAATAATGGTTTCGGAAACCCATATTATGTCCAAACATTGAATCATCATTTAGTTGTAGCTAGCTATCTTCGAATTAATTGAAACCAAGACTACGTCAAAAATGGTTTCTTCAAAGTCAACCATCCTTTTGATTGTAGTTACCTTAAGCTACCAATTAGCTTATGAAGGTTTCATTATTTCGGGTCAAATGGTACTTTACCATTTCCTTGAGTATATATCATATATACACTCAATGTAGTCATAAGGATTTTCATTCTTATTTCTTTCGAATTAAGAGGTGCAACTCTATGACATAGTCATAAAGTTCAAACCATTCAACTGAGACGGTTTATAAATCCTTCTCGACTACCTTGAAGCTTTTGGTATAGGAACTAGGTTGTTATATTTGTTGATCACTATCTTGTTTCTTAAAGAACCATTCTTTGAGTTCTATCCCTCGTTCATTTGATCTTAGGCAAATCACATTGTAGGATTACAATGAACTACCTAACAAAACAACATTTGTTAGTTGGTTTATAGAAGCGATATCCAAAAGTTAATTTAAGGATATCCCACAAGATTGTTATCAAACAAATATTGCTTATTAGCACACAACCCCAAATCTTAACATGCTTAAGATTTGTCTTTCTTTCCAACTACATCTTATGGAGTCATGAAAAATTTGGAAGATCTTCTAATTGAGATGTGAAATACTATTCTCCAACACGTATACATGTCATAAATTATTAGCTAAAAAATATAAACGTTCTTAGTAACTATATATAGTAATTGATTAAGTGAATTTTTGTGACTCTCCGTCCACAAAATAAAAGATAATCAAGATAACTGAAATAACAAACAGTCAAAAAAAGATAATCAAGGTAAATGAAAGTACAATATAAACCCTCCTTATTATATGGATCAAGGGAGTAAACTTAATTTTGAATTGCACAGTCACTTAATTTGTTTAACATTACTGGATATCTTTTGCATGATCTGGTGGCATAATCAAGAGACTTCTTCCCGTCATGTGCAATGCTAAAGAAGTTGTTCATATAATCCTCAAACACCACCTCACGATAACGAGCAACTCCATAACTCTCCACCACCTCAGGCAATGGCCCAATTCTTTCTGTTGCCTTTGGGATGGTAAATATTGGGACGGACACTCTTGATTGGCTGCTTTTAGTTCGCGCTCTGTGTTCAGCACTTTTGTACCTTCCATTACTTAGTATCTACAACAGAACAATGTCACAAGTGATGAGATGGTTAAATCCATAATAATGAGCTTTTCTAGCCACACACGTCAACCATAAGCAAGTGTAAATTATTTTCTGCTAACTAATCTCATATTCAATTAATTTTCAAAGTCATTTACACGTATGCAGTCAATTGTGAATAACATTTTTATTATATATAAAGTAAAGTATATTCGAACATTCACAAGCTTTTTCAAGCAAAACAAAAGGCCATAATCTAATTAAATTAACTTTGCGTGTCGAAGAAATATATTTTCCATGAAACAAACATATACAAAGCTTAATCTAATGACCAGAGCACCAGGGACAGGAGTGATCTCAGGCCACTCTCCTTTCTTTCCAGCATCCAATTCTTCTTCAAGTTTCACATACAAACCTCCAATTCCATCTTACAGCAGCACAGTTAGGTTGCCCATGTCTGAGTGACGCCCGATGCCCACAGTGAGCTCAGGATCAGGGCATGTTGGGTAATAATTCATGTTAACCATCCTTAACCCAATGAGTGCCTCAAGTTTTGAGTCTTCTAGTATCACTCCAAGCTTTGTAATCAAGACTTTCACTATTTTCTCTACCATATCTATTGAGGTTTTTAGGTACTCAAGTGCAACTTCCCTGTAAATTTCATATCAATCATAAATTCATAATACACTTAATCAAGTTGGTGTTTTAATTTGTCATTGTTAGAATTTGGGTACGTGTTAAGAGGAAAACATTCTAGTGCATGACAAATTATATGTTGTCAAAAGTGAATATAAACAAACAAACTATTGATTAGATGAATTCTTATTTGAATTTGTGGTTCAAATTGGCAGCATGTATATAAAAATAGTAAGATCTTACTTGCATTCATTAGGCCAATAATTGAGAGCATCAGCATCAGTGGTATATACCATGCTCAAATAGTCCTTCCACTCCAATGCCTTTTCGTTCTCCGGTACAAAGCTTGTTCCGTACTTCACATATGGGCTAGGGCTCACACCTTTCCGATACGCAGCCTTGTTCTCCGGCGCTTGTCCAAAGAAATCATTAGCAGAACTTTTAAGGGACTCTAGCAACTCGAGAGGCATGCCATGGTTCAAAACTTGGAAGAACCCAAGAACCTCAGCGGCATTGGCAAAGTCATTTGCCACTTGGTCATGATCGGGCCCATCCAGCTTTGACAAATCAATTGGTGGGATCTCATGAACCAGTGCATTAAGCTTCACTACGCGCTCATGTGGTGGTTGTATTTATTGCTCAGGGACATTGGACAAGCCGCAAGTACCGTTTGGTACGTGGGACAGGACCGAACGAAGTGAGACAAGGCGTTCCGTCCCACGTTTGGTGCGTCTAAAATAAGTGGAACGCGTTGTTCCATGGGACAAGTTTTGGATGAATTTTCGTTCCGCCTCACCCCCTTGGAACGATTCGTTTCACATCCGTGGAACACAAAATTATAACCTCTCCGTCTCCTTCCTCCTTGTTTCCATCTAAGGGCATCTTTGATCCCTCTTCATTCCGTCCCATCTCATTCCGTTTTGTCCCGTCCCGTCCCGTCTGCATACCAAACGATACCTAAGTCTACCATACCCTTCACACCATTGCCATCTCGAACAACAAAATTGAATAGTGATTTTCCGTCTTCAAAACTTGGAGCCATTGATTTTTTGTGTGTATTTGATGGTATAGGTGGAGAACTAGATTGATGAATATTTGATTAAATAGATGGGCAAAAGGTGACATTAAATACTAGCTAGAAGGTCATATGGGAATATGCTTTAGCCAACTACCAGCTGGTTGACTTAAAATTTAATTTTTAGTATGCAGAAGGCAAGGTTCATGGCTTTCTGATTCTGAGTAGGTTTGCATTTTTCTTTCTTATTAGAAAATATAATTTCATTAAGCTAAGATAATACAAACATAACATTGTTTAGAGTAGATTCTGGCACCGAGAAACGTCTTCTATTCCAAATTTCCAATTCACAAGTATTACAATAGAGAGAAAGTTGAATTAAACATGGTAAAATACCAAAAATATATAGGGTTTTTTTTATTAACACTCCACATGTTGAATACATCCCATTTAAAAATGTAATACCAAACAACTTGTAACTCTATTATGAAATGACTATTCGAACCCTCATAGCTGCTCTTACTCTCCATTGTAGAACAAAACCCTAAAAACACAAACAAGTTGATGAAAATATATCTTTTGATGAACGGAACAAAAAATCGAGTTATGCTCCTCGTTCATTCGTTGGTTTTCACATTCAAGAAATTATTTAAATAATGGAATAAAAATTTGACTTTTTGCAAAGCCCTGCTCTAATTGGAATCCAAGAAATAGGGAAGAAAACTAGAGAATGTTGAAAATTTTAAGATGTAATTAAATGTAATATTCTTGTGGCTGTTTGATGATGAAGAAATTCAATGTTTTTTTGGCTGGTTGGAACTGACATGACCTTATAAGAATAGTTCCTACCATTTGTCCATCAGGCTTCTTAGAATCCAACGCGATTGTTCAAGAAAATTTGACGGATGTTTATAAATCAAATGGCAAGATGGAGATTTTATACAACAATTTAATTCATCTTTCTTGTCTTTAAAATGTGGATTATTCTTTTGTTTGAAAAAGATGAAGAGTTTGATGTGGATTATTCTTTTCTTTAAAATGCGGATTATTCTTTCTTGTCTTTAAAATGTGGATTATTCTTTTGGGGTGAGATGTGAGATGTGAGATGTGAGATGTGGGGTGTATGAGATGTGAGGTATGAGGATAGTATTGGAAAATACGTGGGGTGTGTTAAATTTTTTTTAATTTAAAAAATAAATATGGGGTGTTAATAAAACAAGCCAAATATTTATGACAATATTTGAGAATTTCTTGTATATTTATTAATCTCCAAATTAGAGTAAAAATAGGAGTTACGATTGCTATTACATATGTACTTCGTCAATGTGGGACAACAAACTACTATTTATACTTTAACTAATATATAAATATATAACTGCAACACTCCCCCTTAAGTTGGAGCAAAGATGTCACGCATGCCCAACTTGTCAAGCGAGTTGGAAAACACACTATTAGACGTAGCCTTAGTAAGCACATCAGTAAGTTGATCATGAGATCCCATAAACAGAAAATTAATAATTCCAGCATCCAATGTTTCCTTGATAAAATGTCGACCAATCTCCACATGTTTTGTTCGATCATGTTGCACTGGATTATGAGCAATCTCAATAGCAGCCTTGTTATCACAATGGAGTTTCATAGCACCCTTGGGTTTAAATCCAAGATCTCTCAACAATTTTTTCAACCACAACAACTCACATACACCATGAGACATACCACGAAACTCAGCTTCAGCACTTGACCTAGCCACCACTTTTTGTTTCTTGCTTCTCCAAGTAACTAGATTACCATCCACAAAAGTAAAGTATCCAAATGTAGATCGCCGATCAGTGATAGAACCAGCCCAATCTGCATCTGTATACCCTTCTACATTCAAATGACCATTCTTTGAGAAAATGAAGCATCTGCCAGGAGCCACCTTCAAGTACCTTAAAATACGGATTACTACATCCATATGAGCTTCACTAGGTGAGTGCATAAACTGACTTACCACACTAACTGCATAAGCAATGTCAGGGCGAGTGTGAGAAAAATAAATTAATGTCCCCACAAGCCTTTATATCGTTCTTTATGAGTAGGAACTTGATTCGGAAATAAGCCCAAACGATGATTCTACTCAATCGGAGTATCAACATGTTTGCAATCTAACATATCTGTTTCAGTTAATAAATCAAGAACATACTTCCGTTGAGACAGAAAAATACCATGCTTGGATTGTGCAACCTCGATTCCAAGAAAATACTTCAATTCACCCAATTCTTTCATCTCAAATTCAGTAGCTAGGTACTTTTGAAGGCGTTGTACCTCCTCCTGATCATCACCAATCACTATCATGTCATCAACATAAATAATCATTGCAATTAGCTTACCATTTCGTTGCTTTAGAAACAAAGTATGATTTGAATAACTCTGAAAATACCCAAACTTCTTCATTGAACTTGTAAACCTCCCAAACCACACTTTAGGAGATTGTTTCAAACCATACAAAGCCTTTCGCAATTTGCACACCACCTTTTTCAAGAGATATATTGATGCTAGGTGGGAGATCCATATAAACTTCCTCCTTAAGATCACCATGAAGGAAATCATTTGTAACATCAAACTGCAATAGGGGCCAATCCTGGTTTGTTGCTAAGGACAGAAGGACAAGAATATTGTTAAGTTTGGCAACAGGAGTAAAAGTTTCCTGATAGTCCACAACATAGGTTTGAGTATAACTCTTAGCAACTAATCGGTTTTATACCGTTCTATATAACTATCTGATTTATGCTTAATAGTGAACACCCATCTACATTCAACATTCATGACATTAACCCACTTAGGGTCAGAAAAAGCATCCTTCAATTTTGTTTGAACCGATACACTACATAGCTGACATATGTAGGATGCATATGGTTTGGACAAATGATGAGTAGACACATAGTTTTTGATAGGATACTTGGCGTTAGCATGCATATCTGGCTCATATTGTACTTTAGGTTTTCCATGATTAACACGTGGAGGCAACTGATAAATAGAAGAATCATCAGAATTTACCTCATGTGTGTTGTTGATGCACAAAACCGGAGGTCTTGGAACAACGCAAATCCGACCGTGAATCTGTAAGAAATGTAAATAACATAAGATGTATCGTGGTTCACCCCAAGGTTTGGGCTACGTCCACACTAATTATGTATTTCTGAGGGAGAGAGAACCTCTGTAATGTGAGAGGGGATGTGAGAGGATGAGGGAGCTTAAGGCCTAAGAATTGGCTTCTCTTAATTGTAAGGGTGATGAGTCCTTTTATAGAATAAGGGCTCATCATTTATTACATATTTGCCCATTCCTTTATTACATAATTACATGTAAGTCCCCTGAGTATTTGTACGAGATCTAAATACGGAGGTCCTAAATATGGTATAAACAGTTGTCCCCCAACTCTTCAGTCAAGAGAGTTTTTTGGCTGGAGACTTGAAATTCAGTCCATGTGTGGGCCGAAGTAACTAGATGTTGTCTTGAACTGATGCTTGATATGAGGCGGTGCTCAACCTGAAATGATGCTCAACTAGAAGTAGCGCATGCTGCGAGGCTGCTCGGCTCGTGGCTTATGTTGCCTTGGTTGGCTCAGCTTGTGGCGTTTGAAGGTAAGGGAGTCTTTTTTATAGAATAAGGGTTCGCTCCTCAATTTATGAATGATGGGCTAGAGTTGATGCTCACGGCGAGGCGGTTGGTCAGTAGGCGGCGATGCTCTCTAATGATGGTAAGGGAGTCCCTTTTATAGAATAAGGGCTCGCTTCTCAATACATAAATGATGGGTTAGGGGTGATGCTCGTGGCGAGGCGGTTGCTCAGCTGGTGGCGATGCTCTCTAATGAAGGTGAGGGAGTCCCTTTTATAAAATAAGGGCTCGCTCCTCAGTACATAAATAATGGGCTAGGAGTGATGCTCGTGGCGAGGCGGTTGCTCAGCTAGCGGCGATGCTCTCTAACGAAGGTGAGGGAGTCCCTTTTATAAAATAAGGGCTCGCTCCTCAATACATAAGTGATGGGCTAAGTCCCCTAAGTATTTTTCATGAGTGCTCTCTAATGAAAGTGAGGGAGTCATTTTTATAGAATAAGAGCGCGCTCCTCAATACATAAATGATGGGTTAGGTCCCCCAAGTATTTTCATGAGGCCCAGTTGAGGCCCAATATATGGTACATAATGTAGTCCCCCAAGTTTTCGATTAATAGAGTCTATTGGCTGGAGACTTCAAATTGAATCCATGTATAGGCCGAAGTGGCGGTTGTTTGGAGGCGGTATTTGTATACCCTGCACTGAAGCTTTGTAGGTAAAGCTTTGCAAGTGAAGCTTTGAAGCTAGAGCTTTGTAAATGAAGCTTTCGAAGCTGGAGCTTTTGTAAATGAAGCTTTTGAAGCTAGAGCTCTGTAAATAAAGCTTTTGAAGCTAGAGCTCTGTAAATGAAGCTTATGAAGCTGATTGACATCAGTGATGCTCATGAATGTTTATGTTTGTTTGTACCATACTTGACCAATCCCGAAACTACTGAGCACCGGTCAACGTTATACCGTTAAGGACCCATAAAAGTTTCCCTCCAACTAGGAGGCCAATCACAGCACGACACATGTCGACATCAGAAGCCAATCATAGTGCGACATGTGTCAACATCAGAAACCAATCACAACACAACACGTGTCAATGTCAGAATGAAACTAGAAACCATCTTCTATAAATAGAGATCATTCTCTCATAATATTTCCTAATGTCATTTGTACTAAATCATTCATTAGAGCTCACTAAAAGAGAGCTTGAACCTATGTACTTATGTAAACCCTTCACAATTAATGAGAACTCCTCTACTCCGTGGACGTAGCCAATCTGGGTGAACCACGTACATCTCGTGTTTGCTTCTCTGTCCCTATCCATTTACTTACTTATCCACACTAATGACCGGAGCAATCTAGCGAAGGTCACAAACTCAACACTTTTTGTTGTATCAAAGTCCTCGCTGATTTTGTGCATCAACATTTGGCGCCGTCTGTGGGAACA